AAACTCGAATTAAAACGGTAAAAATTACGCGATCACCGTACTGTATAACTGTCGAGTGTGGTCTTATTGATTGTGGCGTCGTCTTCTAATTTTCGGAGGAACGTACAGCCTCCATCAACAGAGCGGTAGAGAACCACATGGCTTCACAGCACAGATGACCACAATCGGCATTATCATTGCATTACAACCTCAAATTTCATATACTGTATAGCAGTTCCCCCCCCCCCACACACACACACACACACACACGCACGACCACTTCACGTGCCGCACTGGAAATACTGGAGAAACAAACACAATGGATAGAACAACATGACAAACGAACCTATCAGACAAAATGGTGGTACGCTGGGGACTGGTTCAGGAACAGCACACAGGCCTGCTGGCCTCACAATTGCCAGACACACAACACACCTATCTTACAGCACAGAGACAAGTGAACTGAATGTAGCGAACTCAGCGGACTATGAAGAAACACGTCATCAACGCCCCAATGCCAACAAGGGTTATAATTCCATATCGAAGCGCATACATATGGACTCTACGTCCAAGCATGCACTTTCAGATATCCTTGGACTACTACTTCCCGAAATTCTACTGAAGAATCAAGATGCAGAATAAGTTGTTCAATTGGATGACTACTGTGCGAAAAATATCTAATTATTTGATGAGTCTCCATCAACTACGGAAGTTGTATGGCTTGGAATTAAATGTGTATGGAAAGCAGTTGGAACAGAGTGACCTTTTTAGATAAGGTAAAAGATGCCCTTATTACTTAACACCACGTAATTCAGCATTTTATGGTTTATCCCAGTATCCAACGGGTAGTAGGCCCTATGAGCCCCACAGCAATGTGTACGTCGCACATGCGCAAATCCCTGCTCTGCTTGTCAAAGCGTCTGTACAGATGCCAACTTAGTTTAACCAAGAAATAAATATCTTAACCTGTGAGTCATTCGGTCCATGTCTCTGAAAGCGGAACATGACATTTTTCCTGGACAGCTGAGTTAATCTTGAAATGTCTGTTGATCCGTTGATTTAAAGAGTAAATTTTGGACCGCATTTAATCCTGGTCAGCAGTTGTTCCTTCACCTGACATCGTTTCGATGCGTAGAAAAAGTGTATTATCAGAGGGAATAATTCTTTTTAGGACTTCCGACATATTTTTCACAATGCATAATTTCGCACATTTAATGATTATTGGAAGTAATAATGTCTCTCCGATGGTATTAGGCTTATTATTTTTGATTTTATGCATGAGACCTCGAGGTACAATGCACGTCTTTATTTTTAGGTTATACTAAATAACTGAGATAATATTAATTGATAATAATAATCAACACGCGTTTTGAATTTCTTTGTCCCTTTTTAATTTCAAGCCTTCACCAATCACACCAAAATCCGTCATTAAATATGACACGTTCAACAAATAAATTCTAAGACATCTGGGCTGCTTGATCAGAGTTAAATGAACTACTTTTTTATGGGTTTTACAACGTAAGTAAGTACACAGACAATTTTATCAGTTGTAAGTTTAGTTTTGAACCGTTCTCACTTTCAATGTTTCGCGCACCACCTCGGTACGCGCAGCCTTGTTTGGTAACCAGTATACTAGATAAATGAAAGAAGCAAGATTCCGATCCAGATAACATTCATTGACTCACACAATAGACACACACATTGTCTGATGATTTCAACTAATCGTAACGTCATTGCAGCTGCGCACTGGGTTTAACATTGACATCGACACAACCTCGAAAACCACACAAAATGACGTGATACATTTTATCCAGCCACCTTTCTCCACGGGGGCAGAAGTGTAGTTCAGGTTACTAATGATAGATGGTTCTATATGCTGGTTACGGAGCGTCTGATGAACTGCAATTGGTCCAGGGTTTCTGAACCAGCGGTCGGCCGTTTATTTTGTTCGACAAGCATTCTTTGTTGTACTCTTTAGTGTAAAAGAGTTAGTGATACAATTAAATATTCATTGTTAATGACGTCAGTATCTGGCAGAAACTGTTGGTGTGAGCAACGGTTCAAATTGATGGGGAAAAACAAGTGAAGTTCAGAACCGCCATGACATGTCTCCCTGATAAACATTTGGAGAGATCCTTACGAATAGGAACTATAGAAACTGAACTTGATTACTAAAGTAAAATCAATGCCAAATACCTCACTAATGACTGATTTGTCAAATAAAATTACTTATTAGAAGTAACATTTGTATGCGTAAGACGGTAGCTTGTTTAACGAACTGCAAATTCGTTTTAATAAATTATTCTACTTTATATCCCTGGTAGCCACGGTGGTCTAGCGGTTAGAACGCTGGCCTTGTAATCCTGGGGTCTCGGGTTCGAATTTATAACTTGTGTTGGGCAAGGCCGTGGTCTAGGCAACACGGAGTTTTCCTCCGGGGGCTTCCCCGGTTTCTCCGTGGCATCCCAACAATTACTCCATTCACACACAGAAGAAGGCAATGGCAAACCACTTCTGGATCATCTGCCAAGAACGTATATGAACAGGTCCCAGTCCGAGAAAAGGATGGAAGGATCCTGTTCATATGGACCTGTCGTCAGACAGAACACTAAATAAATATCCTTGGTGCCCGTGAGTTGTATGCTGACTTAGTCTAGTTGGACACCAGAACCGTTTCATTTTTCTGAAACAGTATCAGTTTCCCCGAGAATCTAACCCTCAGGAACGTGGTTTCAGGCCCGTCTTTAACACAATCTACACTAAATGGCACCTGAAGTCGATCTATCGATTTCGGAAGGAAAACCTTCAACAGACAGACATTCTCTGCGATATCATACTTCTGACGTCATTGTCATTGTTGAACCCGCCCTGTTTTTCCCTGTGATGTCTGCGTCTCATTCTTCGAAGTGCTGAAACATCGAGTGACATGTCGTAACCATGGCAACCTACGACCGTTTTGACAAACGTCCTGCAAGCAATCTCTGCTCGGGTCCCTCCCCAATGTCGCAAACTCAGGTGGTGCTGTGTGGGTTATTATGAATTATGTCGGCCGAGTGGTAGCTTTATAACTAATGGAAATGTATTCAGTTATACAACAAATTTCAACTTATTTCGAACACAGGTTGTAACAACACATATCTGTTCAAAACTCAATCGTTTCTAACAGCACGCAATGCCTCTCACTTGACCTAAATTTATTTAGGATAAGGGACCAGTTTTCCGCATTGCGCACTTCTGCAGTACACGCAGGCCGCGTCATTCTGTTAAACACTAGTAAAATGTTTTGCCCCGGGGGAGCATGCCGGTAGTCGAAGACGACACCACGTGTGTCACTCCATGCTTGTACAGTGTTCTTTCTGTGATATGATCTTCCAGAAGTCAACACTAAATACAGAAGTAATTGTTGCACTTAAATGACAACGAAGCAACAAGATTACAAAAGTACTAGAGGATTAAAACTCCAAAAATGTGCCAACAATGGGACCATACAAAATAAATGTATCTTCATGTAGCGAAAGATTCATAAATGTGCTTCGAAAATAAGCTTTCTGACAACAAGGAAATCGCCACATCTCCCAGTCTGCGATATTTTCTTTCTTCCTTTACCAGGAACACGTGGGCGGCGACTGGAAGCAATCAAAATGGATGTTATTCCCCTCGCCCCAGCCAGAGGCCACCGCCAAGTCGCCGTAGTACGCAACGCGACCTTAGAACCAATCACTCGCCTCTTTCTACGTCCATCTACACACAGCACGAAACTGAGGCTTTCTAGTCATTGGGACTTCGGCAACAGAACACAACGGATTGTGGTAGGTTCAGAGTCTTATCAACTTGATATCGTAGTCTTTCCGTGATGATCTTAGCAGCCTGAGTGCATTTATAATTACACATCCTTCCTTCTCATATCGAATTTATGACTTCCCTTCCTTTCTCTCAATCGACTAACCGACACTACGTCACTAACTTGCCGGTGCAATGTAAACAA